GGTTCTCAACCTTTCACAGGGGTCGCCTAAGACCATTGGAAAACATATATTTTCGATGGTCTTAGGAACTGAGACACCGCTCCTCTATCCGTCTCCAGGCCCACATGCAGATACGCCCACATATGAGTACCTGGTGACCCCTGTGAAAGGGTCGTTCGACCCCCAAAGGGGTCGCGACCCACAGGTTGAGAACCGCTGATCTAGAGCACCTACATTTTTTTTTAAGTGGCTATTTTATTTTTGCCATGATGTATCTAAAACACAATTTCAGCAGAGACAGAAACTCCCACTTGAAACTTGCTTTGCTTCTTTGCAACTTTTGAATCCCTGGGGGACTGTTCAGATATTGCTGCTGAAAGGCTGTAATGGGATTGATGATCAGACATGAGCAGGTAGGTGAAGGTTAATGTCAGTATCCTGAAGCAGAGATTCCCTTTGAGGAGGAGAGGAGGTTTAGATTGGATAAAATTTCAGCCATTTGGAGGTGAGCGCCTGCTTTGTCCCTCTGGGCCCTTGTAATGAGACATCACGCTTAAACTTGACTGCATGTGTAGGGGCTTAATTAAGTTGGTGGTGTAATTTCTTTGGTGCATATGCTTCCTCGTCTGTTTGGGGAATAACTCTTTACCACCAGCACAGTGGTTGCTGTACCCTGGTTGCAGATTTTCCATGAGGCCTGGACTTTTCACAGCATGTGGGTGGGTCCCAGAGGAAGCTTCTTGAGAGTGACTGTCATTGCAAGTTACATGACATCACTTCCACTGGACACTATTGGTTGAAATAGATAAAAGCCTGCGTGAATTCAAGGGGAGGGAACTTACACCTCACGTCTTTACGAGAGGTGTGTCCAAAATTTTGTGGCCGTTTTTTAAAACCAGCACAAATTATATACCACAGTGTATTTATCCATTCTGTTGTAGGTAGATATTTGAGTAGTTTCTACTTTGGAGCAATTATGAATAATGCTGCTGTAATCATTCTTGTTCCTATCTTTTGGTTCACATGTATTCATTTTAGTTTGGTATTTAAGAGTAGAACTGCTGGTCATTTTGTATGTGTATCTGCAGCTCTAAGGGATGGATACTGCCAAACAGTTTTCTAAAGTGGCTGTACCAATTCTTACTCCGACCAGCAAAGTGTGAGTCCCAGGTCTTCTGCAGCCTTACCTCTACTTGGTACTGTCGGTTAAATGTTAAAAAAAAAATCTTTTTTAACCGTTCTGTGTTTGTGTAGATCTCTGTGTGGCTTTAAGTGCTTTTCCCTGATAACTAGTGATAATGAGCACCTTTTCGTATACTTGTTAGCTATTTGGATATCATGTTGTGAAGTACTTGTTCAAGTTTTTTGCCTGTTTTTTTTTTTTTTTTAAACGAATTGGGTTATCTGTCTTTTTACTTATTGAAATGTTGGGGTTTTTATACATAAGTGACATGAATAATAGGTCTCTTTGTTTTATATACAGAGGATGCCAAAAAAATGTCTACACATTTTAAGAAAGGAAAGGACTACTAAAATTGTAATTCTCAATATATAACGTTAGCAAAAGATGAATACAAGTCACATTTGACGTCTGCAGTTACAAGAGGTGCTCAAAGTGGTTACCGTCAGCGTCCAGACACTTCTGATTACGGTGAACTACTGCTTGAGCAACGCTGACCAAAGCGTCCACTTGTATACATTTTTTTTGGCACCCCCAGTAGATAGAAATGTTTTACACATAGTTATTCTCTTGCATTTTTCACTTAACTGTATCTTGGAGGCCATTCCATATGTATAGGAGGAACCTGGAATAAATTGTATGGAGAATAAGGAAAATATTGGAGACTGTGGGTCGTGTCAGGAGGACACAGTGGCCAACTTGAAGGGTTCCCATTGGCTAGTGTGGAGGAATAGAGAAAAGAACGGCCCACGCGTGGCACTCGCGGGTCATGTTCTCCAGGTAAATAGAGATATTCTCAGTGTTCTTCCGACAGGGTTTCTCTGAGATCATGATAAAATGAGGCAAAGCACAAACAGAACCAAGGTTGCTGTGCCACCCCCAAAACACTTGGCCAAAATGAGTGACTGCTGCTTTCTTACCAGTTACAGCTTTAACTTCCTTCTAGTCTCCCCTTCTTAGAAAAGATTTCTTGAGAGTCCCAAACATAGAATTGCCCCACTTTTTGACAGCATCCAATTTAGAGCAACTCCTGCTTCCTTCGACCCTCCCATAAAATTCCCCGACCAAAGCCCCTATTCTGGAACACATGCTTTAGGACCCTCTCCTCCTGAGCTGTCCCACTGTTCCCCCAGCTTGCTAACTGCAGGTGTGTTCCTGGTGGCCTTCGGTTGAAGAGGTTTGACACCAGAGATAGGACAATTTGGGCAGCAACAATAACAAAAATTACAGGGGACAATATAAGTGACAATAGAGGGACACAATCAGCAAAATTCAAATTGTGGGAAATTTTACAGGATAAATGACAAGAGGAAGGAAAAAATAAAAGAGGGAGATGGTACTTGTTGATTAGAGAGATTCAAAGACACATCCGCCAAATGTAGTGACGAAAAATTCAACTGTAAGACGACTTGGAGACAGTTGAGATTTGAACACATCTTATTAGGAATTACTGTTAATTTTGTTAGGTGTGACAGTGATATATGGTGGCTGTATTTTAAAAAGTACCTGTTAGAAGTATTTACATATGACATGATGTCTGGGGTTGTAAAATAATCTTCGGAGAGGCTAGTGGACTAGGATATACAGAAGAAACAAATTGGCCGTGTGTTGATAATTGGTGAAATCAGGTGATGTGTACATGGGAGTTCATTATATAATTTCTCTACTTTGTATGTATTTGAAAAGTCCCCTAATAAGAATTTTTTAAAAATCCATTTGCATTTTTTTCCGTGAATTTGCCTATGTTACTCATTTTTCTTTTGTCTTTTTTCTTATAATAAAGGCTTTTAAAAGTACTTTTGTCACACGTTTTGTAGATATTTTTTATTTGTATCTTGAGTTTGCTTATGATATTTTTTTTTAGCTACAGAGAATTTTAACTTTTATTTTGTCAAATTTATCAATTTTCCTTATGTCTTGAGTGTTTTATTTTGTGTGTTGCTTAGAAAAAGTATGCTTTTTAATGAGTGTAGTATGCTTCTGATGTACTTGGACTATTTTATTTGGTCACCTGAATTCCCTTTTAGAGTATTCAGAAATATTCTCCCTTTGAGCTCCGCTGTAAGAATACATAAGGAAAAATGTTTTTTAGTAGCCATCCTGCACAGATATAATAGTGAGCACCCAGAGAAGTGACAGTAAACAAAGTTTGGTAGTTAATTTTGCCTCCCAAATAGGAGAACTAATAGGAAATGTATCATTTACAAAATTGACAGAATATGCTAAATGTTATAGAAGAATGTTCACAGCACAGTGCAGAGATTCTCATCTTAGGAAGTGTTTACATAAAGAAGCATTCCTTTTTAGCTCTTTGCTTTTAGTGCTTAGGGGCCCAGGAGGCAGGTGTCACCTTCCTTTGTGTCCACACCTTTAGACTTCCTTCCCTCTTAGATATGATGCCTTTGCGTAGGCAGCCCAGGACCTAGCTTCTAATCTCTGTCAGAATAGATGAGTGAATGTACTGCATTGTCTTCTTCATGGTTGGTTCCTGGACCTGTTAGGACTTAGGGATGGATCTAACCACCACACCTAAACTCAGAAAGAGAAGGAAAGGAAGCGTGCAGCAGAGGCTCCACAGAGCCGTTCCCTTTTGGGGAAGTGGTGGCAGGGAGGTTCCTTGGGCTTGTGTTTGAAATTGTACCACACTGTGTGGTCTCAGTTAAAAATGATTTCTGCAGTTAGTGTTTCTCTTTTAGACCTTTTAGAAATCATTTAAAGGAAATTAAAATTGAGGAGGTACATTTATACTGTATTTTAAACATTTTATTCACCATACCCCAAATTTTATAACATAACATTAATCACTTTCCTAATGCAAGTAAAAAGAAAAATTATGGCCAGTAAGAAGTTTTCTTCTCTGAAGGTACCCACTTTGTTTTTCAGGTAGAAACATGAGTCTTCACCTAGTTCTTTCCAGCTTAGGTGTGAAAACCTGACTAGT